ACTACCATGATACTACATAGAATCCCATTAGAATCCCAATGTGTGAAATAAGCTCTGCCTCTCCATTAAAGCTCACCCACGTGCAGTGGAACGTCTCTACCAGTTCTTCCAGCCCACAGTCCTCTCTTATCTCTTGGAGCTCCTAACTTTTCATCCCTCAAAGCGTGGTACTTGGGACCTGGCAGCACTGGTGTCACCTGGGAGCTTATAAGAATGGCAGAATCTGGAGCCCCTGCCTGAAACCCACTGAGTCCAAACCTGCATTTTAATAAGTTCCTCTGATGATTCAAATGCACATTAAAGTCTGAGATGCACTGGTTTACTTTAGTGGGTCTCAAGTCAGGCTGTAGATCAGAATCACTTTGCAAGCTGTATTTATTTATAATGTATATTTTAAATAATATATACACATGGAAAAATTACAAATTCTATATCTCGTAAACAAAGAACAAACAGCATTGCTCTGGCCATTCGGGTTTTGTGTTTCCATACGAATTGTAAAGTTTTTGGTTCTAATTCTGTGAAGAATGCCAGTGGTAGTTTGATAGGGATTGCATTGAATCTGTAGATTGCTTTGGGTAGTATAGACATTTTCACAATATTGATTCTTCCAATCCAAGAACATGGTATATTTCTCCCTCTGTTTATGTCATCTTTGATTTCTTTCACTGGTATTTTATAGTTTTCTGAGTACAAGTCTTTTGCCTCCTTAGGCAGATTTATTCCTAGGTATTTTATTCTTTTTGTTGCAATGGTAAATGGGAGTGTTTCCTTAATTTCTCTTTCTGATCTTTCACTGTTGGTGTATAGGAATGCCAGAGATTTCTGTGCATTAATTTTGTATCCTGCAACCTTACCAAATTCATTGATTAGTTCTAGTAGTTTTCTGGTGACATCTTTAGGATTTTCTAGGTATAGTATCATGTCATCGGCAAACAGTGACAGTTTTACTTCTTTTCCAATACGGATTCCTTTTACTTCTTTTTCTTCTCTGATTGCTGTGGCTAGGGCTTCCAAAACTATGTTGAATAAGAGTGGACATCCTTGTCTTGTTCCTGATCTTAATGGAAATGCTTTCAGTTTTTCACCATTGAGTGTGATGCTTGCTGTGGGTTTGTCATATATGGCCTTTATTATGTTGAGGTAGGTTCCCTCTATGCCCATTTTCTGGAGAGTTTTCTTTTATCATAAATATGTGTTGAATTTTGTCAAAAGCCTTTTCTGCATCTATTGAGATGATCATATAGTATTTATCCCTTAATTTGTTAATGTGGTATATCACATTGATTGATTTGCATATATTGAAGAATCCTTGCATCCCTGGGATAAATCCCACTTGATCATGGTGTATGATCCTTTTAATGTGTTGTTGGATTCTGTTTGCTAGTATTTTGTTCAGGAGTTTTGTATCTATGTTCATCAGTGATATTGGTCTATAATTTTCTTTTTTTGTGATATCTTTTTCTGGTTTTGGTATCAGGGTGATGGTGGCTTTGTAGAATGAATTTGGGAGTGTTTCTCCCTCTGCAATTTTTTGGAAGAGTTTGAGAAGGATTGGTGTTAGCTCTTCTCTAAATGTTTGATAGAATTTGCCTGTGAAGCCATCTGGTCCTGGACTTTTGTTTGTTGGAAGATTTTTAATTACAGTTTCAATTTCATGACTTGTGATAGGTCTGCTTATATATTCTAATTCTTCCTGGTTCAGTCTTAGAAAATTGTACCTTTCCAAGAATTTGTCCATTTCTTTGTGGTTGTCCATTTTATTGGCATATAATTGTTTGTAGTAATCTCTCATGATCCTTTGTATTTCTGCAGTGTCAGTTGTGATTTCCCCTTTTTCATTTCTAATTCTATTGATTTGTGTCCTCTTCCTTTTTTTCTTGATGAATCGGGCTAAGGGTTTATCAATTTTGTTTATCTTCTCCAAGAACCAGCTTTTAGTTTTATTGATTTTTGCTATTGTTTTCTTCATTTCTATTTCATTTACTTCTGCTCTGATCTTTATAATTTCTTTCCTTCTACTTATTTTGGGTTTTCTTTGTTCTTCTTTCTCTAGTTGTTTTAAGTGTAGGGTTAGATTGTTTATTTGAGATTTTTCTTGTTTCTTGAGGTGAGATTGTATTGCTATAAACTTCCTTCTTAGAACTGCTTTTGCTTCGTCCCATAGGTTTTGGGTTGTCATGTTTTCGTTGTCATTTGTTTCTATGTTTTTAAAAATTTCTTCTTTGATTTCTTCAGTGATCTCTTGGTTTTTTAGTTGCATACTGTTTAGCCTCCATGTATTTGTGTTTTTTACAGTTTTTTTCCTGTAATTGGTTTCCAATCTCATAGCATTGTGGTCAGAAAAGATGCTTGATATGATTTCAATTTTCTTAAATTTTCCGAGGCTTGATTTGTGACCCAAGATGTGATCTATCCTGGAGAATGTTCCATGTGCACTTGAAAGAAAGTGTATTCTGCCACTTTTGGGTGGGATGTTCTATAAATATCAATAAGATCTAACTTGTCTATTGTGTCATTTAAAGCTTGTGTTTCCTTATTTGTTTTCTGTTTGGATGAACTGTCCATGGGTGTAAATGGGGTGTTAAAGCCCCTGCTATTATTGTGTTACTGTCGATTTCTCCTTTCATGGTTGTAAGCATTTGCCTTATGTATTGAGGTGCTCCTATGTTGGGTGCATAAACATTTATAATTGTTATATCTTCTTCTTGGATTGATCCTTTGATCATTATGTAGTATCTCTCCTTATCTCTTGTAACAGTCTTTATTTTAAAGTCTATTCTATCTGATACGAGTATTGCTACTCCAGCTTTCTTTTGATTTTCAGGTGCATGGAATATCTTCTTTAATCCCTTCACTTTCAGTCTGTATGTGTCCGTAGGTCTGAAGTGGGTCTCTTGTAGACAGCATATATATGGGTCTTGTTTATGTATCCATTCAGCCAGTCTGTTTTGTTTGGGGCATTTAATCCATTTACATTCAAGGTTACTATTGGTATGTGTGTTTCTATTACCATTTTCTTAATTGTTTTGGGTTTGTTTTTGTGGGTCTCTTGAGAAAGAAAAACAGAGCTGGAGGAATCAGGCTCCTGGACTTCAAACTATACTACAAAGCTACAGTAATCAAGACAGTATGGTACTGGCACAAAAACAGAAATATAGATCAATGGTACAGGATAGAATGCCCAGAGATAAACCCACGCACATATGGGCACCTAATTTATGACAAAGGAGGCAAGAACATGCAATGGAGAAAAGACAGCCTCTTCAATAAGTGGTGCTGGGAAAACTGGACAGCTACATGTAAAAGAATGAAATTAAAACACTACCTAACACCATGCACAAATGTAAACTCCAAATGGATTAAAGACTTAAATGTAAAACCAGACACTATAAAACTCTTAGAAGAAAACATAGGAAGAAACACTCTTTGATATAAACCACAGCGAGATCTTTTTTGACCCACCTCCTAGAGTAACAGAAATAAAAACAAAAATAAATAAATGGGACTTAATTAAACGTAAAAGCTTTTGCACAGCAAAGAAAAGCATAAGCAAGACAAAAAGACAACCCTCAGAATGGGAGAAAATATTTGCAAATGAAACAACAGACAAAAAATTAATCTCCAAAATATACAAACAGCTCATGGAGCTCAATAGCAAAACAAACAAACAAACAAACAATACAGTTAAAAAATGGGTGGAAGACCTAAATAGACATTTTACCAAGGAAGACATACGGATGGCCAAGAGGCACATGAAAAGATGCTCAACATCACTAATTATTAGAGAAATGCAAATCAAAGCTACAATGAGGTATCACCTCATGCTGGTCAGAATGGCCATTATCAAAAAAATCTAGAAACAATAAATGCTGGAAAGGGTGTGATGAAAAGGGAACCTTCCTGCACTGTTGCTGGGAATGTAAAGTGATACAACCACTATGGAGAACAGTATGGAGGTTCCTTAAAAAACTAAAAATAGAACTACCACATGACCCAGCAATCCCACTACTGGGCATATACCCTGAGAAAACCATAATTCAAAAAGAGGCATGTACCACAATGTCCATTGCAGCACAATTTACAATAGCCAGGACATGGAAGCAACCTAAGTGTCCATCAACAGATGAATGGATAAAGAAGATGTGGCACATATATATAATGGAATATTACTCAGCCATATAAAGAAACGAAACTGAGTTACTTGTAGTGAGGTGATGGACCTAGAGTGTGTCATACAGAGTGAAGTAAGTTGGAAAGAGAAAAACAAATACCATATGCTAATGCATACAGATATGGAATCTAAAAAAAAAAAATAGTACTGATGAACCTAGTTGCAGGGCAGGAATAAAGAAGTAGACATAGAAAATGGACTTGAGGACATGGGATGGGAGGGCAAAGCTGGGGCAAAGTGAGAGTAGCATCGACATTTATACACTACCGAATGTAAAATAGTTGGCTGGTGGGAAGCAGCCGTATAGCACAGGGAGATCAGCTCGGTGCTTTGTGACCACCTAGAGGGGTGGAATAGGGAGGGTGGGAGGGAGACGCAAGAGGGAGGGGATATGGGGATATATGTATACATATAGCTGATTCACTTTGTTATACAGCAGCGACTAACACAACATTGTAAAGCAATTATACTCCAATAAAGATCTATATTAAAAAAAAAGAGCGTTGCTCACCACCCAGTTCCTCAATAAATAAGTTCTAACCCACTGCAGTCTTTGACCGACAGTGCACTCTGAGAGGCGTGAGGTGATCCCTCACTGTGGTTTTAGTTTGCGTTTCCCTGATGATCAGTGATGTTGGTGTTGCTCTTTATCTTTTGATGCGACTGTTCCATCTGCTCACCAAGGTGACATCCTGAGGAGGCCTCAGGGATGCGACTTCTTTACATTCTTACCTTGGCACAGGGCTTTGTGTGACGATGCTTGTTAATGATGAGGCTTCAAAGAGTGTTTGTGGCTCATATGATGATTTGTTCTTTTTTTAGTTCCATGGACCAAACACAGAGAAGAATGCTGGACCAGCCCCTTTCCATCCCCACTGCCCAGCCCAAGAAGAAAAGGACATCAGTGATACCTTTCTTTTCCAAGGCCTGAGACAAATTATTATGAACAAATGTCCCTGCTCAGCAGCCACTTTGTGTGCTTGCTTTTCTGCCTTCGTTTGGTTCCTTCCATTCCTTCTACTGAGGTTCCTTCTCCTGAAAAAAAGTTTGATGACAGCTCTTTAAACACGAATAGGATGTTTATATGATAACAAGAAGATGAGTTGGGAAGAATGTAGCTTGCTGAGAACTTAATGATAAAAATATAGAATGAACTGCAGTGAATATTCAGAAATACTGATGAGACTTGGTAATCACCTGAATACCAAATAGGGCTGTGGGTCTCCTCTCCAGCCCCCACCCACTAATAAGGATGGTGAGGAAGTGGTTTGTTCTTGGATCTTGTCTGGATCTTGGTTCTGACTCCAGGACACGTTGGTATGTCCTGTGATGTGCAGAACACCAGGAGCTTCCTAGCATCAGGGGTTAAATGCTCTAAAAACCTATCTCTTGCCTTGCAGTTAATTAGAGTTTAGTCCTTGAAGTGCAGATTTCTGCATCAGCCACACAGCGCTTCCAATTTGCATTATTTATGCATTTCTTTTCCTAATCTTAATTGCTCAGATGCTCGCATTCTGAGGTAGGACATCCGTCAGGTGCCCTGAAATGCCTGTAGATGTGCTTTGCTAATTGTGTCAAATGCTGTTGAGAGGCTGAGTGAGGTGAGCTCTGAGAGTTGACCCTGGGATTTGGCTACACTGGGGGGAAGGGAGTGGGGAGGGCGTATGGATGCCATCAACCTGATCGCAGAAGGTTCAAGGGAGAACAGAGGAGAGCGGCTGAAGAAAAAGCAAGAGTATAGACACGTCTTTCAAGCTTTAGCTACAAAGTAGAGCAGAAAAATGGGGAAGGGCTGGGGGAGGGAGGAGGGCCAAGGAAAGTCTGAGACAGGAGGGGCACAGCTTACCTTGTCCTCGGAAAGGGATCCCTATTCCCAGATCACATCAACACTCCTAAAGCCCCCTTTTCTCAGCTCTGTCACACCCACAACTGCCTAGACACCTCTCTCCATAATGGCCCCAATCCTACCTCAACATTAGCTCTGCATTATTTTTCTCCACCCCTTTCCTCTTCCTCCATCCATTTCTTCATTATGTAGATCAAACTAATATATTCCCAGCAAAAACAAGATGTCTTTAGGTGGAGAAATAAGGATTAAAATTGAGCGGGGAGCAACACAGGATTTTCTTTAGAGGGAGAGATTAGGGTTGGCGATGGGTAGGGTGTGACTCTGAACACTCCCAAATCAATACATTTTTGACCCGCCACCCAGGTCTCTTGGAAACTGAGGCTCCAGAAGCAGGAGCCTCTGAAGAATGTGTTTTTCAACTTGGCAGAGAGAGCCTGGGACCCCAGTTTTAAAAAGCGTCATATGGCAATGAGAAGCCTGGGAACTATGGCCTGTGAGACCCCGGACAAGGTAGGAATGGCAGGGGGCACTTGGCCAGCCCTCACGGCCTGGAGTCCTCAGCACCGGGATGGGGGGCTTCATGTACTAGTTGTCTACTGCTGTGTAACAGTACATCAGGGGCCTGGCGTTTATTATCTCGCAGTTTCCTTGGGTCAGGAGTCCAGGTACCCCGTAGCTGCATCCCCTACTCAAGGTCTTGCAAGGCTGCCATCAAGGTGTGGGCCAGACTGCATTCCTTTCTGAAGTTCAGGGTCATCTTCCAAGCTCATGTGGCCGTTGGAAGAATTCATTTCCTTCTAGTTGTAGGACTAAGGTCCCTATTTCCTTGCTGAGTGGCCGCCCTCAGCTCCTTGAGGCCACCCTCTCACAACACAGCAGCTCACTTTTTCACGGCCAGTGGGAGAGTGTCTCCCACTCCTGTCTGCTAGATGGAGTCTCATATAATGTAAGGGAACCATGGGAATGATGTCCGTCACCACTGTCATGTTTGAGAGGCCACAAGCAAGTCACTGGCTCCTTACACACTCAAGGGAAGGAGATTGTACAAAGGCACACATGACTCATTTGGGGTCATCTTAGGGTCATCACACCTGCACTCTTAACCGCTGGGTGACAAGGCAGGTAGAGCAAAAAGTGCACAGATACAGAAAACGCGAGGACAGAGAAGCTAATCAGTTAGCTTACCCCAGTCACACACACACACACACACACACACACACACACACACACAGAAAGATAAGACCGTTAGAACAGGGAACAGAGCGACAGGGAACTTGCATTTACTCACAGAGCGTCTTGCGTGAGTTCCCAACACCTAATTCCCCAGGAGTAACCCAGCGAAAGCGAGGTGCCTGCACCTCACGGGAGGAAGAGAAACCTCGAAATTATAAAACTTGGAACATAGAGGAGCTGCCGGGACATTTGCCTCTCCTTCCGCTCAGAGAGGCAGAGAGGCCTTTGCTCTGGGATGTAAACCAGCCCTCTCTGGGGCTGGGAGAGGAAGGGCTCTACTCCACCTCCCTGGAATATAAGCAGATATCTCCGGGCAAGTGTCTCTAAATCTCTCTGGAGGTGCCATATTAATGGCCAGGGCTTGTTTGCCATGCAAGTGTTTTTTAAACCCAGGTCGACTGTAGTGTTTTTTTTTGCGGTACGCGGGCCTCTCACTGTTGTGGCCTCTCCCGCTGCAGAGCACAGGCTCCGGACGCGCAGGCTCAGCGGCCATGGCTCACGGGCCCAGCCGCTCCGCAGCATGTGGGATCCTCCCGGACCGGGGCACGAACCCCCGTCCTCTGTATCGGCAGGCAGACTCCCAAACACCGACTGTAGTTTTTGATCAGAAACTCCTTGTCATGGTGAAACCTGGGAATACTCATGGGGAGCTGTTTCTGACAGTTTGTATCCCTGTCATAAGAGTTCTTCACTGCCTGCCTGGGCTGTGCCCCATCAGATGATTGTCAGACTCCCAGGGGGACAGGCACCCCCTTACACATCTCTGCACATCTCACAGCGTTAGGGTCAGGCTTCAGGTAGAGTTAGGTCTCAATAAGTGCTATAGTTGAATTGAATTAAACACATACAATTAAACACATACACACACACACACGTAGAACAGTGAAGAAAGTGCAACACTAAAGCAGTTTCTGTATTAGAGTTAGGTCTCAATAAGTGCTAGTTGAATTGAATTAAACACATACAATTAAACACATACACACACACACACGTAGAACAGTGAAGAAAGTGCAACACTAAAGCAGTTTCTGTATGTGTCATGTGTGCTAAAAAATTCTTTTAAATACTTCAGAAGATGATCAGTGGTCTCCACTCTTGCTGAGTGTCTGTGACCCCCATTTCTAGGTGAGGAGGCCTGTCCCAGAGCAGTCCCTTCTGGTTCACTTGGAGCTGGACAAGATCAAGAAGCATTGATATAAAAATCCCTTCACCATGAGTCAGGAGGCTGAGTTGCTACCCTGGTTTGCTGTTCCCTGATGGTGTGACTCTAGGTGAATCACTGAAATGCCCTGAGCCTCTGTCTCCTTAACTGGGCAGGGAGATACTCTGACCAGACAGCTCCCCTGGGAGAGGGAGGAAGGGCCGAAGCCACTGACTTGGAGTCAGGGACAAACCAGCGAATCAGACCCAAAGCAGGGAGAGCTGGCAGGGTGTCAGGGAAGAAACAGAATTGTTATTTCTGCTGCAGGTGGCAGAAACTCAGCCCAGGGTAAAGAGAGATGGCCTGGCAAACATGCTGGAAGTAGAAAGCAGGGGATGGGTCGAATGAATTAGGGTGCAGCCAAAAAAAAATCCCTTTACGTATTGACATGGAAAGAGCTCCCAGAGAGAATGATGAAAAATCAAGGTGTATAACAGTGGGATGGTCCACATCCATTTGTTTAAAAATGTGGGAAAGGGCTATGTAATATATATTTCATTTTTTTCTTCTTTATTTTTTGGAGGAATCACACAAAATGTATGACTTTTTGGGGAGGGAAATTTGGTGGCGGGTGGAGAGGTGTAGGAAGGGAGACTTACTTTTTTATAAACCTTTTTGGTTATTTTGAATTTGGAACCAAGTAAATATAATCAATCTCCAAAATGTTAAACAATGAAGAAAAAAGCTGGGAAGCTGGGAGTAGCACCAGTGAGCCCCCAGTCTAACCCTCTCGTCTGCTGAAGAAAACTGAAGACTCAGCCCGTCTCTGCTCTGTCCCGGAGCCTGGCTGGCTGAGTGCCATAGACTGGATCTGATGTCCCACCTGTAATATGCAGCAAGGGACCAGGGCTGTGCTCTTCTCTGATGCAGCTGCCTTTTGGTACTGACCCGAGGTTTCTTGTTTTGTTCACGGGGGACCCACAGGAGAATGACAGCCTGAGATACTCGGCCTTTGTCTTGTTTGGGCAACTGGCTGCCTTTGCTGGGCGGAAATGGAAGAGATTTTTCACCCGTCAGGTGAAGCAGACTCAGGATTCTCTCCTGACCCATTTACAGGATAGGAATCCCCAGGTTGCCAAGGTGAGTCCGTGACTCTAGCCAACAGCATGAAACCTCAATGCCATTCCTCAAGGGAGTTGGAATGCAGCCCTGCTGAGTCGAGATGCCAGGCCCTCAGGTCCTGCCAGTTCAGTTACGGACACTGAGCCGTGTATCCACGTGAATCCTGGAGAAAGTGCCTCCTCGATGGCTAATCTCTCTCTGAGCAGGAGTGTTGTTTTCCATTTTCTCTTGCCCCACTTGTCCGGTCCCAGCACCTGTCAAATGCCAGATACACTCAGGTTAATGGGGGGGGGGGGGGGGGGGGGCGCTTGCTCCGTGGGGCAGCACCTCCTATCAGAGGAGATTTATTCATACCCAGTTAGCTTTTGTCACTGCACCTGGTACAGATTTCCCACCCTTGGCTTCTTAGTTTCCTATGAGGCTTTTGTGTTATTCTTGGAGAAAATGTGTCCTAACCGGGTTGGATCAACCTCAGGGCTGCTTTGGAGCAGGTGAGTGTTTAAAACCATCAGGAGCAAAGGTTCCACCAAATCACCTGCCTTCTTTAAGGTCACGCATGAGGGAGGGGGAGAGAGAGAGGGAGAGAAAGGTTGAGATTGAATTTAGGAATCCAGCACTACTTTTGATGAGACAATAAGGGCTGTGATAAAGTGTAAAGCTTTGCCCTCCCCACCAGCCGCAAAGTATAGACATGGTCGTTTTATAAGCATAAATCCTTTAAGATTCAAGTTTTCAAACTTCCTGGAAGTTACTTCCACTCTTAGTGGCCCCCAGACCACAGATTGGGTGCAACACTTTTCCTTGCTTGGGATTATAAAACTCTCTAATATTTTTGACAATAAGATGGTAATATTATTTCTCTCAGGCTTGCAAAACAACTTTTCGAGCCTGTTCTCCGTATCTGAGACAAAGGAAGGACTACAGCTTCCAGAGTGAAGAGGGTCAAAGGAACCCTAAACTCTGCCGGCAGCTGGTGAGTGAGCAAGGGCAGGAGAGGTTCTCCCAGTTTCCCTGCCCTCCCAGTGTTAATGCAGAAAGTGGTTGGGCACACCAGAGAGTTACCCCGCTAAAACGACTCAGGCCAAGTATGTTTCAACTGTAATTGACGCATAATGCGATGTGAATGGCAAAACACCCAGAGGATTATGCATAAAATATATTGGCAGTTCCAGCTTAGATCGTTGGGTAAAATATATTGGCAGTTCCAGCTTAGATCGTTGGGTGAAATATATTGGCAGTTCCAGTTGAGATCGTTGGGTGAAATATATTGGCAGTTGAGATCATCATTTGGATAATGCTGCCTCCTCCGCTGAGAATCTGAAGATTGTTTATCCTCATGCTCTGCCTTTGACAACTGTCTGCTCGTTTTAGAGTCAAGGAGGTTTACTGACTCCCTTCCTCACGTGTCCCTTTGCCAATTTCTTTCAGAGCCACTATCATCCAGAGCTCCTGCAGTTCCTCTATGCAAATAAAATCCTGTAAACACAGAGCAGCAGGGAAATGGTTCCAGTGAACACATTGCTGGGGGCTGATATTCCCCCTTTTAACTCTTTGGATACTTCTGCTGCTTCTTGTGATTATGATAGAAAAGGGGGTGTTGGGAGAGCAATTGATGGCAAAAAATAATACTGTGGAATTGTAGAATTACACCAAAATTACATTCTAAATAGCTTTTATATGTCTCATTTTCTCCCAACACAAATTTGATGAGAAGGTGCATACTTTAAAACATTTAAAGTATATGTAGATTCAGTGCTTATTTCTCAGCTATTTTCTTCTTTTCTTCTCTGTCACCAATTCTTATTTTTAATTTTACTTTTAATTTCTAAGGCGTAGGAGAATAACTACTACCTGAAGTGTTTTTTTTTTTTAATCTGCTATTGATACCTTTTTTTTTTTTTTGCTGTACGCGGGCCTCTCACTGTTGTGGCCTCTCCCTTTGCGGAGCACAGGCTCTGGATGCGCAGGCTCAGCGGCCATGGCTCACGGGCCCAGCCGCTCCGCGGCATGTGGGATCTTCCTGGACCGGGGCACAGACCCATGTCCCCTGGATCGGCAGGTGGACTCTCAACCACTACGCCACCAGGGAAGCCCAACACCTTTTCTTGGCGAGACCTATTTAAAGTTGGCCAAGGTACCAAGACGTTGGTGTGGAGGGGGATCATTAGCTTCTCATCATCTTCAACAGTCAGTGCCTCCAAGATCATTCCAAACAAGAATTAATAAAGAGAAAAAAATCGATGAACATGTGTTGAAAAACCTCAAGTTAATGGTAATGTGTGGAATAATAATAATGAATAACGTATATTAAGAATGTTTGTAGTTTACTGGGCACTCTCTAAGCGCTTTGTGAGTATTACTTAATACTCACAGCAAGCTGTGAGAAAGGTACTATTACTACCCTCATTGTGTAGATGAGAAAACTAAGGCACAGGGAAATTGACCAAGATGACCAGTAATTGATGGAGCTGGAATTCAAACCCTGATTTCTGGAGCCTACGTTCAGTCATCGTGTGACACTTCCTTGTTATGGAATAACTGACAGATGGTTAGAAATGTAAAAATATAAAAGAAATTTAAAAAACCCGCCACTTCTGCTCTTCTGTTTGACTCAGTTAACTTTTGCTTTTGTATGTATTAAGTACACATTTTTATTTAATTTGTGGCTAAGTGTATATTTTTATTAATCATGTCTCGGCTATTATGTCAATTTTTTGGTGATCAATCCTAGTTATAAGTAGGGTCACATTACTCTTATAAAACGTTTCAAGAAATCTCTCATAGTCCCTCTCACCTTCCCTCCAACCAGATTGCTACCCAAGCTTCTCCCGGAAATCCTGTTACTACCACTGAACTTGGCGTTTGGGTCATACCTGGAACAACTACATCCAGTATTGAAAATGGAAAACACAAGAAGGTCACACAGGCTACAGAGGGATCTTCATGTCAGTCTGAGTATGAGGAGCTCAGTGTTTCTGCTCTAGCTCTCCAGAGACAGGACCATGTAACACAGATGAGGGGCGAGGTGTGTCCTAGAAGAGACGGGATGTGGGAGGTGGCCGAAGGGGCACTTGGAGCCAGACATGAATGGGGTTTCTTTCTTCCTGTTTTGAAGCTTGGGTACTTGACCAGGAGCTCTTGGGAGTGACCCAGGCTCAGGAATGAGCTGGTGAGATGCTTCTGAGCTAAGAGCCCTCTTCCTTCCTAGATGGTGGCCTGTTTGAAACTATATTGCACTGTTGGTTCATTCTAGAATCTGATGCAGTTCTAGTAAGTGATCAGTAAGTGGTGTGAGAAATGACTGCATTCTGCCAGCATTCAAAAAGGCAGGGGTAGAGCGGGGCAGGCAGTTTACATGCCCTAGAGTACAAACATCTGTGCACTGAATGCCCCTCAGTTGATTAAAATTGTGGAAGACGCTGTTGAATTATTTGACTTTAAGACGTGTGGTAGACTGTTGCTTTGGTGGTTTCCAATGAATCATGCCTCCTGATACTCATGTCCTTGTGTAAATCTCTCCCCTCAGATCTGGGCTGGCTTTGGGACCTGCTTTAACCATTAGCATGTTCTGGAAGTGCCATGTGCTAGTTCTAGGCTATGCTTTTTTTTCCTTTTTTTTTTGCGGTATGCGGGCCTCTCACTGTTGTGGCCTCTCCCGTTGCGGAGCACAGGCTCCTGACGCGCAGGCTCAGCGGCCATGGCTCACGGGCCCAGCCGCTCCGCAGCACGTGGGATCTTCCCGGACCGGGGCACGAACCCATGTGCCCTGCATCGGCAGGCAGACTCTCAACCACTGCGCCACCAGGGAAGCCCCTAGGCTTTAAGAGCCCAACAGCTTCCTCTTTTGCAGTCTGGGTTAAGCCAGCTGCCATGTAAGAAGCCAGACTACCAGAAATGAAGAACGTCTGAAGTCTCCATTTTGGAAGGAAGACCAAGCTAACCACGCAGAGATGCCACGTGGAGAACCGAGGAGCCCAAATATACGGTTCAGCCACTCAGGATGGCTGTTCTCTTGCTCTCTGTACATGCCCTGCGCGGCCAGACCCGGCTTCACTCACATGACTATCCAATCCTCTTAATTATAGGGCTTAATTAGCCCCTGGTAACCAATGAGCCCACCTGATGTCAATTCCGCCTATAAATGGTAGCCTCCTTCTCCCCTGAGTAGTAAGACTGCTGGCATATCCTGCCTGGAGTCTGCCACACACAGTGGGGTGTTGCTCCAGGATGCTTTGTGTAAGATCCCCCCGTCCAATAAACGTCCCCGCCGCCGTCTCCAGGCTCGCTCTTTGGCCTCAAGGCTGGGCAACTACAAGGCTTGCAGGCCTGCGGGGTGCAGCCCAACACCAACCCATGGTGAGGTCTGAGACCCAGACATATGACACAAGTTGGCCATTCCAGCCAGACCCCAGTCGTTCAAGCTACTCCAGGTGTCATCATGTGGAAAAGAGACCAGCTGTCTCCATCAAGCCCATCCCAAATTGCAGAATTGTGAGTAAGTAATCAAATGAGTGTTATTTTAAGTCACTAACTTTTGGGATAGTTTGTCACTCAGCAATAAGTAACCAAAAAAAAAAAATTCCTTGTCACTAGTGTTGTCTTTTGGCCAGTTTTGTTTTGCTTTTAATAAGTCCTCTTTGAATTTATACTTCTAGAAAGTTATGTTGTCATGGAATGTCAACATGGAGAGCAAGGGCCCATGCCTTGTTTTTCTTTCCATATCTCACTGTATCTATCCCAGCACCCAGCACATAGAAGATGATAAGGAAACATTTGCTAAATGACTGAATAGTTCCAAACTAGTGGGAACAGAGTCCAAACATTAGTTTGCCATTCTGGGCTCTCAGCCATGGGCTCACACGCTTCCTTTCCAGCTTTTTCTTCTGTTACTCTCTTTGCTTCAGTGAAGTTTGGCCCATCTCTTTCCTAAACACTGCTGGGTCTCTTAGGTTCCCTGCCTTTGCTCAGTCTGTACTTTCTGCTTCGAATCCCTTCACTCCCACACCCAGGCACACTCACACGTACACACACGCACATCTCACGTGTATTTCTTGTCCCTACTCCAAGACCTGGGTCAAATGCCTGATCCCCTCCATCAGGGAAGAACTCGCATCTCTGAATGCCCAGAATATTCTAGCAATCTTCTGCCACTTATCATGTTTTACCTCATTTGAAAGTTTTTTAACCTACAGGTCTTTTCCCCCTCTGTTAGACTGAAGCTGCTAAAGGTTGTGCTCTATCTTGTATATTTTTGTATCTCCTATATGACCTCAAAGGTGCTCAGTAGGTGCTTAGTAAATGAATGTTGATTGGGGGAAAAGTCAGAAAGTCATCTGAAGCTATTGCCCCTTGGGAGGAGCCCGTTTTGACAAGTGAGGGTGATCATTTCTCTCCTTATAACCAATTTACAGGTTACTTTTATGCTTATGTATTTAAAGTTTTTCTTCCCCCATGAGATGCCTTTTAATTTGAATGCCAACCCAAAGACAATGCTTTGACATTTCTTACTTTGAAACACTAGACATAGGACAGTTGAATGAATGAAGGAGAAAGGAAAGTTCAAGTGCTACGGTGCTAAGTGGTCAGGGAGGGGTATGCATAGAACTTGGTCCCTGCTTTCAGGTCGCTCATGAAATCGGTCTTTTTAAAGGGAAAGGAGAAGGGAGAGAAAAAGACACAGAAGGAAGTTGAGGACCTAACAAGTGTGATCAGTACTGGTCATCGGTGTGAACAGAATCCTGGAGAGTAATTGAGGGAATGCTTGACACGTTACAAGAACACTAGAGTGTGGTTTGTAAAGAGGAACGGGCAGCTGAGTAGGAGAGCCAGCAGGTGGTGTTGGTAAATAAGGCAGACACATATTTCTGCTCTTCTATATTTTCCAAGTTTTCTGCAATAAGCATGTATTACTTTTACAATCATAAAACACATGCCAAAATGCTCTTTTAAAATTAAAGGTCGGGGCCTCCCTGGTGGCGCAGTGGTTGAGAGTCCGCCTGCCGATGCAGGGGATACGGGTTCGTGCCCCGGTCTGGGAGGATCCCACATGCCGCGTAGCGGCTGGGCCCGTGAGCCGCGTAGCGGCTGGGCCTGTGAGCCGTGGCCGCTGAGCTTGCGCGTCCGGCAACGGGAAAGGCCACGACAGTGGGAGGCCCACATATCGCAAAAAAAAAAAAAAAAAAAAAA